GTTAAACATAAGGTGTTCTTACCACAGAAATAAATAATAATTTTATGTGTTTGGATATATAGCAAAAACGTAAGAACGATTACACTTTCTGAAAATGTGACTATTTACAGAGCCTCAGAATGTGTACTTTCAAAAAGCTTAGAAACCAAACTCATAAAAACACAAACAACGGTGCTTTTGACACATAGACATATTAGACTGTAAGAGAAAGAGTGATTTTGACGATGAAATTATAGTGCCATATTTTTTTTCTCTTAATGATTAGCTCAGATGATTTGTTTGGGAAGTTCTATCAGATAACTGTCAAGATGGATTAGGTCCAGGTACTCATTAAAAAATAATAATAATAAAGATATTCATCAAGCAAAGATGAAGGTCTAGTCCTAACCCCCGCCCCTCTGGCCTAGAACTTGGCTTGTTTTGTTCCACATGAGACAAAGCTCATGTGATTTTTTTTCCTCCTGCAATCTAATCTGTCAGCATACAGAGGATTCATAGTAGTATTTCTAAAAGATCTGCCACTCTTAACAGCCTGTCCTCTTTAAATAGAATTCACTTGAGATGACACTAGAGTTTATATTTCACTCATGGCAGATAAACATTGACAGCCGAAACTGAGTACTAGATTTTCTTAGATGTTTCAGTGAATTTACAATGTTGAGTGAACTGAAACCTAAAAGGAGAGAATAATGCAGCTGCTATGAGGAGTGCCAGGAAAATAATGTGGGTCCTTTTCATTCTCTCAGGAGAGGAGGCAGAGTGTAACAACTTCTAAAAATATACTGTGACTTTAGGACAGCACTGCCTACGAGATAATATTGCAAGCTTGAGTATTCTGAAAGCTGGGTCAGCAAGTGGCAGAAGCCAGGTGCCCAAAAAAGCAAGTGATGGACGGTCAGATCAGAATGAAGGCAAGACAAGAACTCCAGAAAGTAGAGGGAAATGGTATGTTGGCTTTGCTTTTTGTGACAGCTGTTTATATCTCTTGAGTAAAAGAAAAAAGGTAATGACTTGAGACACCACAATCCGGCCGTCTATTGCTTAAATGGCGAATAATTAAACGGTGAATTTTGTAGCTCCATGTGACAAAACACAAAATGGTTTCAAAGCACAACAAATGCCCTTTGGGTGTAAAATCCTTTTAGGAAAAACAAAACAACAACAAAAAAACGAGGGCCTGCTAAAATTTAAAAAAAAAAAAAAATCTATCCAAGAAGTACTAGGAAAAGAATTCCCAGCTACAGCTCTACCCAGATGTCTGTCCTGCTCCAGGGTGGGTTTCTAGGAAAGCTCCAAGTTCACGTGCAAGGAATGTCAGCTAGGGATTTTCGAATTGTCCTGCTCTTCAATACTCCCTAGCAGCCTTGAGATGTCAGTACATACTTCTCTTATGGAATAAGGCATTTCCCCATCGTTGGCTTGACTTCAGTTTTCTGGCATTTATTTCTCATCTTGAAAGTACCTGCATATTAAACTGCGGACTGGGCAATTTTAGGGGGTCTGGGTACCTGCCACTTGTGTTGAATCACTGCATACAGCTCCGAGCTGACACTGGGGTAGCACTACTAGCATGCCAGGTCCTGTTCTAGATCCTTTCCTATAATAACTCACCTAATCACTCACAAGGAGCCCATGTAACAGAGGAGGAAACTGAGATATGGAGAAGACTTGTAGGTCATTGAAGGTCTGACAATTAGTAAGTAGCAGAGCTGCTGTTATTTCCCAGCTGGCCTGGTTCAGATTCTATGTGCTCACCCCAGTAGTCTACACACCCGCAGGCAGGTGAAGGAAGCAGCCCTGACATGTCATACTGAATGTTCCCACCTCTGCGCCATGATCATCTCATCTCGTCACGCATGCTGTTCTCTGGTGTAGTTTTCCAGACTAAATCTTCCCTTAGTCTCCTCAAATTCTGTAATACTCCATCATGGAAAGGTTCCCATTATTGCAACTTTTATTCTCCAGAAACACAAGGCATGAGAGAACTCTACAGCATCAGTAAAATGGACCAGAGCTTTAGGAGGGAGAGGATTTTCTATAAATTAATTCACCCTAAATGAGAGGTTATGGACAAACTTGCATTTGTACGACCAAAGGAGCAGAAAGAACTAAGGAATCTTTAATTCCTTGAATTACAAGAAATTACAGTTTTGCCTTTTGTAGGCAAAACTGGACATCAACATTCTCATTTGGGTCAACTAACAATGTAGGGTAAAGGAGGAGTTACTTGGTTTCACATAAAATCCAGTGCAAGCAATCAGATTCACTGGTGATAACACTAGTGTTTAAATCAGTCCCTCACATAGACAGGAGACTCCAGCACTATCTTCTAAGGCCTCAGGACACACCTTGGAGTGCTGCCATTTGTTGCTCCACCTGCTTTATTCACCAAGCAAGACTATTGTGATGTCTCTGGAGTGGGTACCTGGTCAGTAGGGTGTCCCCTTGAGAAGCTACCTTGTGAGTCCTGCTCCAAATGCTGAGCCCGTGCTCTGAAGAAAGAGACATTTTTCAAGACAATGCCTGAAGAAAAAGCTACTGGCTGAGTTAGCTGCTTCACTTGATGTGTTAGAAATGATTCCAGTCATATTTCAATACCAATGAAGAGTAAACAGGAATGTTTGCAAATTTGCAAAAAAGAGAAAAACATTTCCTATTGGCTATGAGAAACCTGTGTTTTACCTTTGGTAATATTTTGTTGTGAAATGATCTTATTGGTGCATGTGAGTGCACGTGCTTGTGTGTGTAAGTGTATTGCTTGTATTCCCCTAAATACTGCTTCTCAAAATATGGAAGAAGCATTGACATATCAAGGTGCTTAATGCCTAGACTGCACTGTTTTCTAGTCGTGTAAAATGGTAAACCAGCTTTATAAGGACAAAAAGATGATTTTTCAACCCTATTGAATCACTGAAGAGCAGCTAATGTGTCATCTATATGATATGAAGTTCATCACATTTTGAACAACAGTACTCAGTAATTTGAGTGCATTAACTGGTCATCTACTCATCACCCCACCAGGAATTTCTGTTCCTGAAACTTCCCTGAGTAAAGGAACTTTGACCTGGCTTTTCCACAGGTAGCTGGGGTGCAACTGAGCATGGTGTGGTGTTTCTCCTCCCTCCAAGTCCTGTTCTGGCCTCAAGAAGACTGCCCCCTCCCCTCACCCTCAGCTTATGGAATATGTTTGTCTTTGGCAACTGGCCACAACTGGCCACAACTGGCAACACCACAAATACTAGTAATAAACACGTAATCCTAGAATAAACTGATATTCACCCAGCTGAACTTGTAAGAAAATTTCATAGGCACAAAGTCAAGTAAATAATCATAAGAGTTGTATTTATATATATATATATATATATATATATATATATTTGCTCTAGTCAGTCACTCCCTCTATTCATCATGGTTTCTTTCAACATCTGTGAGATGACTTCTGAGGAAAAACATTTCCAAAGCTATTCAGATATTATTATTATCTACTGAGATAACTTTGAGTTTCACACACATTTTTTTAAAATAAAGAAACAGATCATTTCAAACATGTAATTTCTTAAGACTGATTCAAAGCAGGAAAGATTTTGCCTTAGAAGAAAGTAAGGAAAAATCTATGACTGGCTTTTTTTTTTTTTTTTTTTCCTGCCCTGCTTTCTCTACCAAAAGGAGCATGTGGTAAAGAGCTTACGCCACAGACACTGGCCTTTTCTTCTGGTGGAAAAAAGGCATTGCTGTTTTACGGTGGCCTGGAGGCCCGCAGCAGCTCTCTGCCAGCCGAGCTGTGCTAATGGCTTCACCAAGCACCGCACCAGCTGGGGAGCAGGCCATTTGTGTGTCACCTGGTGCTAAGGTTCTCTGCTTTCCAGAACCTTCCTCTCCCCTTCCTCTTCCCTGCTCTTACACTCCTACCTCTTAATGAGACTCTTTGCACTGTCAGAGGTTCCCCATTGCAATTGGGAGGGAAATGTTCTGGAAAGCGGAGAGCCTTAGCTGAGGTTGCAAATCAGCGTTTTTATTTGAGTTGACATAAATGGGATTAGAGAGAGAGAGAAAGATGAGTCAGATTAATATATTTAAACTCACAGACTTTTAGACCACATATGAAACTTTGATTTATCTGCTATTACTGTATTTTTGTTATTAATATTAGCCATATGATTTAGTGAGAAAAATGTTTACAAGCAGTGTCAGCCTCTGAAATAAATTTTGGCTCTGTTACTGAAGGGCCTTGTTAACTTTTCTCTACAACTCTTGCTGCATCTGCAAAATGCAGGTCTGAGATAAATATAAAAGATTACGTGGGAGTGTGCCCAGCTTTCACTTGGCATTCAGCACACAGTTAATTATTTGTGTTAATACAAAATAATTGTGTGGTGTGCTTGTTATAGGTGAAATTACCTTGTGGTCCTTTTAAAATTAATTATATTAATTAAATACATTTTAATTAAATACATGCAGTATTTTCCCCATGTGAATTCACTTTATCTTGTTATATCAAAGTATTAAATGGGGACATATTTTGGTAATACTTGAAGAAGGAAAGGTTCTTTTCAATTAGATTAAATTCAGAGGTAGGTTTCAAATAAGTCATTTCCTAAAATTAAAAAAAAAAATAAAAAACAGTATTTACTAGTTATTTTGGTCTTCACACCAAACAATGTATGCCTATAGTTTGCCAGTAGATTCTTGATTTGGAGATTTATTTAAAAAAAAAAATCTCAGAAACTAAGAATGTGTTTTATATTACAAGCTCTCTGCTGGTCAAACTGTGACTCTGTTATGATAATGTTGGCATCACCGGGGAACCTGTTAGAGATCAGGACCCAGGTATCAAAATCTGTATTTCACAATAATGTGTAATTCTACACAATAATGTGTAATTGTGCATCTGCAAATGGACAGCTTTGCCACTAGCGGACAATCTAATGACTGGAAATAATCCACCCTGAAGACACAAGAAGAAAATATTCTTGTGTCAAAAGGGTAAATGATGACCTTACCAGTCAGAAAGGTAGGGGACATTTCCTTCCCTCCTGGACATGTCTTCCTCATATAATTCCGTGACATCCACCTGAGATGTTGTGAGTGTCAGCAGTTCATTCCTTTTCATTGCTCTGCTAGACCAGTGACTTAATAATAGCTTTTCCACTTTTCTAGAATCTTAAGTATTCATAGAACACCTAAGGCTGTTGCTGGATGAAGGGTCCTGATCTTGTTAGGAAGAAAGGATGTCCTGAACAAACTCCATACAGGTTCTGTGGACTCCACCCCCATTCCAGACCAAAGCCATCAAGATACTGGGAACTACAAATCCCATCATCACCAAAGGGAGGGTTGCTGGGAACTGAGGGTGGAGTTAAGCAGCCAGGTTTGGTATAAAACCAGACATGTGAGCCTTGGGGGCCTCTTGGCCTCTTGACTCGGCTTTTCACCGGCTCTCTGCACGCCATTGGGATTCCAGGTCAGCGGAACTGGTAGGACGCACTCACCAATTTATCTCCCTCTCTTTCTCCCTGAGTTATTCATTTCTTCATTCCCCCTTCTTTTGTAAATAAACCCTTATTAACCGTTTTGTGTGTGTCTGCAGCTGAATCTGGTTATAAATCCCTTTTAGCCACAGGTGAGGACCCATATTCAGGCCACCCATTTCATATTGGGGTTGCCCTGTAACAAGCTCACCTTAGTTGTTTCCTACACAGCACAGGATAAAATCAACTGCTTGAAGTTAATTACAACATATTTTAGTTTTACATTAAGAGGGAAAGTAAATATGGCGATCTCTGTTTTATAATTTTAGCAACTGACCTAAAAATGCAGAAAAAGTTAATTTGTCCTGACTTTTTCTTAGTCAACTTGTTCTGGGTCCTAGTGACATTCTTTTATGTCACTAAAGGGCAAGGAAGGTGTAAAAGCAGGAAGGACACTGAGCAGGTTTTCTAGGATCCAGCAGACCCGGTAAAGGAGGAGTCCTGGAGCCCTCAGTGGTTTTTGCAGGCTTTTATTGGGATTTACCCGGTACACAGCAGGCAAGGGTTCTGGGGGGCCAGGAGGCTGGCAGGCCTCCCAGCCCCCAGCAAGTCTTCACTCTATCTGGGCTTTCCGGCCTTCTCTGCTTCTCTTCTCTTGCTTCTCGCTCGTTCTCGGCTTCTCCATCGGCTTCTCCTAGCATCCCTGTGACACCGCCCTTAAAAGCCCAGTCTTAGCCCAGGTGCATCCCATCTACCTAGGCCCACACCCTATTCCAGGTGCCCACCATCAGGCATGCATTCATGACCACAAGGATCCATCATCTATCCTGATGGCGGGAGGGCAGAATAGCCTGACATTTTCTTTACCCTACAGAAGGCACAAGGGATCATAGGAGAAACCCTGGAGTCACAGGCATTGTTCAGCATTCCCCCAGCATGATGCTAATGATTCCAAATGCATTGCAACTGGATAGAGCTTTTCCCAGAACCAAGCAAGTCTCTCCCACCAGCTGGGTGGAGCCATTGTGACACTATCTACCCAGAGATAGTATCAGGAATGTTCTTCTGAAGTAAATCTTTCTTGGTGTTGGCCCCCATCCTTGTTGAATTTGCTAGTTTTAGTAAGAATCTTCTAAGTTAGGTTAGACAGAACCCCATCCTCGAATTTCTGGGTGGCACCTGACCTCACCAGTCCCTGCCTGTTTTCTTGGTCTGTTTACCACCAGCCCTCCCAGCATTTCTTTGTGCTAATCACTATCTTTCCAAAGAATCCCTTTTACTTTTTTTAATATAAAGATTTATTTATTTATGCATGCAAGAGCTGGGGTGTAGGCCAGAGGTGCGGGGTTGGTGAGAGGATTCACCAGAGACAGAGTGGGATGCAGAACAGGTGGATTCACTGAAAGACACTGCTGAGGGGAACAGCAGGCAAGACAGGAGAGGTTTGCTGAGTCATGAGGCTCAGCTCCCTGGCCGGGGATCAAACTCGTGCTTCCGTGGCTGTGTATTTCTTCATGGTGCTTGAGACAACACCTTGCGCCACCAGGGAGGCCCAGAATTCCTTTTTCTTTCAAAATTAGTCTTGCTGTTTACAGTGCCAAATTTGACATTGTCGTTAATGGTGGCAAAAAGAATAAGATTCCCAGTACAGCCATTATTATTTGATGTCATTTTTTAAATACTGGCAAATACATTGAACAAAAGAAAAAAAGAATGATTCAAAAGTCTGAGAGGCACGTGGCTGTCAGCAGCCAGAGGTCAGGGGCCTGGAGACTGGTGATGAACTGGGGTTGACTTCTAGTGTTGGAAGACGGAGAGAGTTCTGGAGATGGTTGATGGTCATGTGAATGTACTTACCACTTCCAAACTATACATTTACACTAGTTGAGTCAGAAAATTTCATGTTCTGTGCAATTTGTCATTATTTAAGAAAATTAATTAAATAAACATGTTTGAAAGCCCAAATTTTCATTATTTGCACAATATATTATTTTATTTTCTGGAATCAAAGTAAGTCAGCTAAAATAGAAATAAAAATTATATATGAGAAAGCATAAAAGATATAGTATTTAAAAAGCTATTCTTCATGAAAATAATAATTAGAGAATATAATGGAGGAAAACATTTTATTTGCTATAATATACAAAAAAAAGTTTAAATACATATTCAGCATTGTGAACTTATAAAGTAAAATCTGAGAAAAACCAAAGAGAAACCTCATTTTTTATGGTAAAGAGAACAATTTGTAAGTCATTCTGTGAATTCAATACAATGACAGGTGAACTACTAATAGATATATTTTCCTTTTGGAATGTGAGACAATATTATTCACATCTGTTAAGAAAAAATAAGCATGCAAGATAAATAAACTTTTTGAAAAGAATGAGATATGACTAATCAAAATACTACTTTAAGAACCTATGATAATGGAAATGAATTAGTGCTAGTATGGTTATAAAACAGGTGACAATGAAAGAAAATGAACTGGTCAGAAAGAAAAATATGTGGGAATTTAGTATGTGATAAAGATAGTATTTTAAATAAATGCAAAAAAATATATCATTAAGCAAATATTGTGAGAAGATATGACTAAATATTTCAGTAATTTCAAAATGGATCAAATCTTTACTTGTTAAATAGAAGACCATGAAATGACTAGATGAACATAACTATTAGGTGAAAAAAAAATTAAAGGAAACATGGATAAATTTGACTACTACAAATAAAACTGATAAAGAAATATGGAATAATAATAACATAAACAAATCCCCCCAAATGAACTGACAACTGATAATCCAGTATCTGCAATACACATCCAGGCAAAGAGCTAGTTTTCTTTATGTACAAAGATTCCCTCCAAGTCAGTTACCCACTTAGAAAATAGCCCATAATAGTAGGAATTTCACATACACGTGGGTGTTAATAAATATGCAAATTGCTTGGGAATAGGTTTAACTAATAAAACATAAATAAAACCTGAGCTATTGTACACCACCATCCAGCAAAGATGAAAATGTCTCCCACAATTGTGCAGAGTAGTATAAACTTTCAAGGAGGTAAAATTGCATTATCCACCAAAATTTAAAACATAGACTACTCCTGATGTTATTTTGAAATATTTATATTATAGTTGGACCTACACAAATTCACCAAGTTACATGAATAAAGATGTTTACCTAAGCTTAATTTGTATTTTCAAAACCCCCTGGAAACCACCTTCAGCTCCATGAAGAGAAATTAACTACATGAACCCTGGGACAGCCAAAATATGTTCCTGTTAAAAAGAACTCTACCTAATGTACCAATTTGCTAATAGGTCAATGACAAATTGTTAAACTAATGAAGCATGTTTCAAAACTGTATGTCTAATGAAATTTCTGCCAGGTTGACAAAAAAACCAAAAGGTTGTGGATTTGCATTGGATTGAGGGGTTATTTTCTTTCTTACACTAAGTCCACTTAGTAATGTATGTTTTTTTCACAAGAAACTGCATTAATTTATGAATAATTATCTATGACTATCTTTTTTTTTTTAAGATTTTATTTTTATACAAGAGCTGGGATACAGGCCAGAGGCATGGGAGGGTGAGAGGATTCACCAGAGACAGGGTGGGCAACAGAACAGGCAGATGGACTGAAACACACTGCTGAGGGAGCAGTGGGTGAGTCAGGGGAGGTCTGCCTCGCCATGTGGACATCTCCCTGGCTGGCCAGGAATCGAACCGGTGCTGCAGAGGCTGCAGACAGCTTCACAGCACTGCGTTCAACCCACTGCGCCTCCGGGAAGGCCCCATGACTATCTTTTAAGCATCTAATTATGAAGGCTCAGTGATTATCTACCCTAAGTTACTGATAATCATTTCTGCTATTCTTGTAAACATTTGCAACAGGATTATTGCAAACATTTTAAAGATAGGAAAATATTTGCTTTTTCTGACTTAAAATATCATGGTTTGCCTTGTGTTGCTTGCAGAACATTTTTCCTCCTGAATTCTATGGGCACTTGATAACACTGATCAAAACTAGTGCTTACTTAGACAGCTACCAGTTGCCTTGCAGAAAACAGCACTCACGTCCCAACACATGCATTCCTTCTTCAATAACTTGAACTCACTGTTTGTTTCTTGAGCTTGTAAGGCTGCTGCTAAATCATTTGCTTCTCCACCCTGCAAATGATTATCTCACATAATTTCCCTGTGTATTTTGACCTTTCCTTGCTCTTGAAGCAATTCTGAAAACCAATTTTAGCCATTGACAGTCTTGCTTGCCTGCGCGATGGTAGTATTTCTCTATGGTGCCTGTAAGCAATATCTCTTTTTCTTTGCTTGATATTTTTTCTTTGCTTTGATATTTAAACATGATGTGTACATGTTCAAATCCACCCTTCGAGACTCAGCTGTGTGCTATTAGCCTTCTTCTCTATGAAGCCACTTTCTGCCTCGCAGGTGACACACTGCTTACGTTGGACAGTAGGGGTCACTAGAGGGAGATTGAAGGGCGGGCTGGTGGAGGAAATGAAGGCTCTCCTTTTTGTTTACTGTTCTAGCTTTTCCTTCCTGCTCCTATTAGCATCACCCCAGGAACACTTCCTCACTGTGCAGTGGGTATTGTTCCAATAGC